CTCTCTTTACTGCTCTCTATTTTGGCCTACTTTGCCTATCCATAGGTCGCCTCTAGAAACATTTGCATTGGTTGACGTTTCAATGCAACTTTGTTCCGGCCGGGCCCTCAATTTCGCTTGCAGCCAACACGCGAGGAAGACAGAGAACCTCTGTGACAACCGATAATGTCAGTAGGAAGACAATGAGATTTCACTTCTCTCGCATAAAAGAAGCTTTTTATTGAGAAATGAAAATTATCTGAATCGATATTCCTCGCGACAGATCCAGAAACTCTTTTATTACAAGCTACAAGTTAAATATTTAACGGCTTCAATACCAGAAAGAATCCTAATCATGCGCATGACTCTCAACATTCGTCTCTGCCCGTTTAAAATTTTCTTGAAAATTCGAAAATTTTGGATGCTGCTGAACCTGACTTCGTTGCGAGTCATATATTCTTCATTCAGGTACCTATACAGTAATAATGATTGCTCATACGCGTTGTGTGAGCAGCGACTGGCTGATGAAGAACATGCGGCGGGCTGAGCAGCAGACGCGCGCCGCGGCGCCAGCCTCAAGCAGCGACTAATGACCGTGAGTGAAGGATTAAGGATACAATCGTATTGTGTTTGATACAAAATTTGTATTCTGTATTGTTACTTAACCCTCTACCGCCTGACTTGAGTAAGCGGAGCAATATTGTCATTCAAGTCTACACAAGAAGTGAGTGCAAATGACTTACAATGATGGTTGCCGCCACGTACAATAACTTCAACTGTTCTCTGTTGCGTACAAACGTCATCAGGTTGCTACACTCAATAGTTTACGTATAATTTAACTTGAAATTTATGTTCCCGGAAAGTGACATACGGCGGTCAAGGGTTAACATCGGTGTACTTATCTTATCATGATACTCATCAGGAGCTGTGCGTGAGCACCGTGATTTCTGACATCGCCACATTCACGACCCGTCTCAGGGGCTGCCTTTTTGCCTCGTTCTCATATTGCCGGTTGAATGGCCGGAAGACACCCGGAATCGATTCCTGGGGTACCGGTGATCAAACTGGAGATCCGAGAAATGAGATCCGGGAGTCCCTAGAGTTCCTGGAGGCTGTGGCCATAATCCGGCTTGGTCGAAAAAATTATTCAACATGTTGAATAATTTTGCCGGTACGCCAGGAACCATAAAAATCCGGAACCCAACCTGCTCTTCCGATGCTATGTGAGAACCAGGGCTCCCAGCGCTGGGTTTTTCCACCCAGATCTGGGTTTTTTGGCCGTCACCTGGGTGTCTGGGTGGATTTTTCTTTTAATTGGCAAAATCTGGGTTTTTTCGTTAAGGAAGTTAATTTTAGCCAATAATATAATTGAAATATTCTCAATGACTTAAATTTGTTTATGCAGTAAATACATAATGAATGGAGCAACGATCTAACCGTCAGACTGTATATTTTCCCTAGCTGAGAGATGGTACTGGTATTGTATGCGTTCATTACCAGTATTGAACGCGTTCATTACCAGTCAAAGCAACGGTTCCCAACTTCTCGGCGCACACTGCACAGTACCGCGCTCGAATTGACAAGTGACAAGTTATAGTAGTGTCGTGCGTTACGTTGAGCTTACTGTTGCTTTTGTACCTTTGAACATTGATCGTTTTAAACATTGAGTTTCAATCAGAAAATTTCAGACTTCATGCGTTATATTCTATGGTGTATTCTGAATAAAATGACATTTTGAGTTAATTCATCAGAGAAGAGGCCATTCAATCCACAAGTGCTTCATATATTGATCCAAGTGATAAATCATTACATGAGCATGTAACCGATTTATATTTGGGTGGACGTTGCATGAGAGAGTTATATTTGCTTCCAATCGGGGAAAATCACGTTAGATTTTAAACGGATTGTTTGAAATTCTTAGTTAAATTCAATGAGTTGTGCTTACAAATAAAAAAAAAGATTCCCGTTAGAAGAAGATGGCATTGTTGCAAATTTACATATATTAGATCCCGCTGCCTCAAGAGATATTACTAAATCTCCCAGTTCCATAGTGAACGTAGCACAGAATTTTCCCCATCTTATTCCTGAGGATGTTCTTGACAAACTCGACGATGAATGGAGGCTCTTTCGGCAGTTTAGCGATGTATCTTTAAACTACACTTCAGTCCTTGGCTTCTGGCATTCACTGCGTAACATTAAAGACGGGATGAATCAACCAAAGTATAGAACTCTGTCTAGTTTTATGATAAATCTAACTATGTTGCCTCACTCATCCGCTTGTGTTGAAAGGATTTTTTTTTGCTCGTTAACCACGTTAAAACGAAGCAAACAAACTCGCTTAAAACTGAGACAGTGACAGACAGATTATTAGCACGGCAGTTTCTTGCGAGGAAGCAACAGAATTGCTACACATGGAAGCCGAAACAAGAGTTGGTGAAAGACGTTGTAGATGGAACCTGCTTCCATATGATATGAACAGCGTCCTAAACAAAAAAAAAACAGAGAGAACATCAATTTAGCAGCAGGCGAATACTTATAATTCCACCAGAAGTAAGTAAAATTACAATGTTTTTGATGAAATTCGTCGTCTGGGTTTTTTTCCCACGAAATCTGCAGAATCTGGGTGTTTTTCAGCAACCATCTAAGTTTTTCTCAAATTGTTGGCGGGCTCCGAGAACTCAACCGGCACGGCCGGGGGACCAGCCTGGAGTACCGGGAGGGGTGAAATCGACCCAAAAAAGCCGCAAATTCTGGTTATATGGGTTGCAGTGGCTAGAAATCCACAATATTATTTATCAAAATTAACTTACCAATTCTATAGCAATTCTGTTGTCTTGTAAAGCCTTGGCCATGTGTACATACTCTCCCATTATGTTGACAGCCTCTGTCAATATGACTATCCTCTGTCTCTGGCTTGCCACGATGTTGCCCGATCTGTTGTGCTGCTTGAAATGATGAAACCATACACACACCTGGACTTTCTATAGGAAACAGGGGAAGGGGCGGGCCTAAATATGCATAACTTGAATGGAATACCGGGAAAAAGCCGGGCCTATACCCTGGTTTTACGGCAGTTCTTACTGCTCAAACGGCTCTACCTGCTGTTTTACCGTTTTTTCCGGGAATTCCGATGATCTACCTGGAAATGCGGGCGGCATACGGGACTACCGGCAGGCTCCCGGGAGTACCGGGAATACGTTGCCAGCCGGTATAGCGGTATTGCAGGATTTCCCGGCTACTGAAGCCGAAAATCCACTACAATAAAAATCCTTTAACCACTGCTATAGTTACTCCTATGATAATTTCCATTATAATAAATTTATCATAATGCACTGATACGTCGTTGAAGTAGTAGTATACCTAGAGCATTTCTTTAATAATATCCATGATAATCCGTTTTTTTTAATCCACTAACACTGATTTTTACTCCAGCACTGGCCTATTCAGTATTCAGGAACTAGTGAAAAAACAGGATTGATACGTACTAGCATTAACCTGGCATGGATTTTTTATTAATCCATTATAATTAAATATATTAATTATTCATAATAATAAATTAATCCACTAAAACCGCGCATAAGCGGCATACCTACCGGGATGGATTATTCTATTTATTCATTGATGATCCTTGACAATCCATTGATTTGTCCTTATAACTTCAGCGTTAGCTTATAACTTCAGCGTTAGCTTATAACTTCAGCGTTAGCTTGTAACTTCAGCGCTAGCTTATTACTTCAACGTTAGCGTATAACTTCAGCGTTAGCTTATAACTTCAGCGTTAGCTTATAACTTCAGCTTTAGCTTAAAACTTCAGCATTAGCTTATAACTTCAGCGTTAGCTTATAACTTCAGCGTTAGCTTATAACTTCAGCGCTAGCTTATTACTTCAGCGTTACCGTACCACTTCAGCGTTAGCTTATAACCTGTCTCTTATACACATCTAGATGTGTATAAGAGACAGGTTAAAAGGCAAGTTGTTATATGGAGAATTTTATTAAATCTTATGTTACTTTCCTTGCATGCAAATAATTTCTCAATAGCATAACTCGTCTTCAGACCTGCTCTCTTTACTGCTCTCTATTTTGGCCTACTTTGCCTATCCATAGGTC